AGCTGCTGGAAGCGGCGGCCAGGACGTCCCTCGGCCTGCGCCGCTTCCAGCAGCTCCCATTGGCCTGGAGTGGCGAACCGCGGCTACTGGGAGCCACGATCGGCCAAACCCGCGGATGCGGCAGGTAAACAAACCATCCCGGCATGCCAGGGGCTTTCCCTGCACAAGCGGCAGAACAAGTTTGGGAACCACTGACCTACCTCATCCACTCGGGGCTAGGCTGTGATACACATGCTGTTACCCCTTTTGACCTGAGCAGTTATCCAAGGATCTTGTGGGCTATTTCCATTAGGAGGAGAAATTGATGATGGAATCAAGTATTCTTTAATGCAATCCTGTTTATTTACAAACAATATTAGCCAAAGTTCTGTTTCCCTGAACACAGTAGGAATCAAACAGCAGGAGACATTTCATTTGCTCACAATTCCAAGCCCCTTTCTAGCCAGCACTAAGCCCAAAAGCACTCTGCTGTTTCTTAGAGTCACGTTACCAGTACTTTCGTGGCTGTGTCTGGTGCTTCCTTGTCTTACATTTATCCCGAATGAAGGGTGAGCAGTTATGCATTCACCAGCTTCAGCAGGGTTTATCCAACCCCCACGATCATAATGACTTACACCACAACTAGTCCCTTCAAAATCAATGAGACTGCCTGTGGAGTCAGGTGTTACTCACTGTGAGTAAAGGTATCACAATCTAGATCTTATTCCCCATAACCGTGGGAAACATGCATATGACAAACAGGGTCTGTTAAGAGGCATTTGTCAGACTATTCCACTCAAAGTGTGATGTTTCTGCATCCAGGGAGAGATTGGCAGAGAGATGTACATCATCAAGCAGGGAGAAGTTCAAGTTCTTGGAGGCCCAGATGGTACAAAAGTCCTGGTTACCCTGAAAGCAGGAGCTGTATTTGGAGAGATAAGGTAATCCAGTAACTGTTTATAATGTTGTTTTATAGAGCTGCTCAAATATTCAACAACAACAAAAATCAACCAACAAATAATTCTATGAAATTTCCCATCTTTCAACAAGTACTACATCTGATGAATAGTATTTTTCTCCATTTGGCTTTTTCATGTAACAAAGCACACTAGGTGCCACAGGGAAAGTTTGACATTGGGGTTGGAAGCAGGAAAGTCCCCAAAAAGAATGGCTGACTTAATGAGTAATCCACAATATGAAACATGTTCACAATCAGTGAGTTAGGACAGTCCAAGAGAAGATACCTAGTAAGGGGATGAAGGGGTACAAAATAAAATTTAATCTCAACATCAGGGGGAAATTCCCTAGCAGTGAGATCTCTGAGCCTGTGGAATAGTGACTAATGTGTAATGAGCATTTTCAAACTAGACTGGGTAAAGTATTTAGGAATATAATAAGGGAATTCTCCTCACGAGTTTAGAGGGTTTAACACATCCTCCAGCTCCAGTTTCTACGTTTCAGTGTGACCATATTTGTTTTATTGCTTGCACAATATCACTAGGCACGTTTAGGCAGCAGATATTGAAAATCAATTATCCTTTTTACTAGAGAAAAAAGCTACAATGAAAAACTATTTAGGAGCCTAAACATGGATTTAAAAGCTAGGCACTGAGGTTTGAAAATATAGGCAGTATTTAGTTAAGAGTATATATCTACTTAAGAGTAAAGTATACCAGAAAATATTTTTTTGAATGGTCCTTTTAGAAGGGATAATTCTTCTAAGATTCCAATGTACAATATCCCTATTTTCTAATTAGTTGCAATGCAAATATCTATGAGCTCTTCTATGTCATGTTTACTCTTTGGCCAAGCCCAAGACTAGCTGTACCTCCTGTTGAGGTCTGCATGAAGAGTAGTAACAGAATATAGGAGCTGTTGCATGTGATAAAATGGAATCTTGATTTCTTCCAGCTGCCACCCTGTTATTGTTAATCCTCTTGCCGGAAACTTTAATCTGCTTTTAAAAATTGGTAAACAGCTCTGTGCCAAGTTTAAATTTATCCTCTACTTAATTTATCTCTTGTGGTAGTGGAAACATGCCAGTTTATTTAATGATGTGCATACAGTACTTGCCAATGCTCAAATCTGCAAATAGCAAACACCTGATTGGAAGTTTCCCATAGATACAGGGCCCTTTTTATATAAATGGAAAATAAACCTATACCAGCTGTTTCAGAGAAGGATGTCTATTTTTTCAATTGAGTCTTCTTTGTGACAGTATAACATGAGCAAAGCCGAAAATCAAAATGCTCCATTGTGTGTGTGTGTGTGTGTGTGTGTGTGTGTGTGTGTGTGTGTGTGTGTGTGTGTGTGTGTGTGTGTGTGTGTAGTATAGTAGAGAGAGAGAGAGAG